TGCGTATGTATGTATGTATGTATGTATACATATGCATGTATGTATGTATGTATGTATGTATGTATACATATGCATGTATGTATGTATGTATGTATGTATGTATGTATGTATGTATGTATGTATGTATGCATGTATGTATGTATGTATGTATGTATGTATGTATGTATAAAAAATTTGTTACTGTACTTCCTAAGTGCTCTAATTCGGTAGGGGTAAAGGCTGCCGGATGTGAGTACTGATGTCAAGTAGCATGGCTTGGCCCCGCCTACTGGGGCAAACGCGAAAATCTGTTTTCTCAGACCCAGAGCGTTCAATATCTACGGACGGCCCGCAGTCAGGACAATGAGTAGAACACCAACTGCGTAATAATCATTTCGACAAGTTGCTATATCCCTTTCGTGACTAGTTGTCCAGTATGTATTGGTTGCAATTATACTGTTAACTTACAGACCGCTGGACAGATGTGCTTGGCGAAACCGACTTTGATTGGTGTTTTCGGATTGCTTCTAACTTTAACGTCCGTACAAGCGATCGTCGTCATACAGTACCTCGTCAAACGGCTGTACAGTTCGACAAAACTCTAAAAAGTCTTGTGTCATTGGCCGTGTCCTTAGTCGGTACCGGTCGCGCTAAGGCTAGCCGTGCTAGACATAAGTATTGATTGATGTGCAGAGACTGTACTGTGCATCATCCAAAGCATGAACAGCATTTCCTTCGAAACCCGAGTCTAACCATCGCATTAAGTCCAGCCATCCAGCCATACATCACTCTACCGTGCTTTCCGAACCATAACATCTCAACAATTTGATTCACTTTCTGTTCATGCCTGGTCTATGCCTTTCACATGCTATCGCTCTTGAATCGCGTGCGAAGCTATCAAGGCTATCGTCGCTCATTTCCGCACATACTACGGTTATACATCTCCATTCCTGTTGTCGCAATATATGTATGCGTGCGTTCTTTTATCGTCCATCTTTCGAGAAAACTTCCATGGTCTTCCTCTAAGCCACTTGACTTTCCTCTCCACATATCCTATAAATACCAATAATAAAGTGCTCTATGCACACCACCGCGGCGTTTGCCGATTATTCGTTTACATTACATTCAGTACAGGTGTTTTTTAGGATACTGTGGTGTTACTCACTCAGTTTCTCGCTGTTTTGTGACGCGATTATACATATATACTGCTGTAATAAGATAATAAGAGCTATCACTATTATTACTACAATGATTACTATTATTTGTTGAATGAATCACTTTCGACATTAACCGACCACTTGTTCCTAGAATTCCTTGCCTTGTAATAGCGCACACCCGTTTTGTTGATAGCGATGTAAAGATTTAACAGCTATAGTTTCCGATGAAAATTTTATAAACTATGATGAATGACACCTAACCAAGTTGTTAACACAGGTGTACTGCACTGTAACCAGTCCGCGAAGTTGTAATTCTACGAGGGAGCTGCGCCTATGCTCTTTATGAAACCAAAAAACGTTCGAAATCTTGCCAAACACAGAAATCGAGCAGCGACAGCGTTACTTTAAAGATGACAATGAGTATTTGGGAAGAGTCTTTGAGAAATGCATAACATCTCAAGATTCCTTTTTTTCATGAAAAGATGAAGTTCGTTTAGGTTGGCCGAGATACCATGCGTTGAAGAAGACTTCAAATTCATAGATCCCAAGAAGAGCGTAGGTTGCTTTGCAGCTGTTCCTAGGGTAATTCACGGCAATATCAAAAGGATACCTTTGATTGCCTAGCCAACATAATTCATATGGGAACTTCTGAACCGCTCAGCGTGAAATATGCGAAACACGTCCGCAAGCTAATAAACTCAGACATATTCCATAGTTTAGTATGAACTAGTTGGGTCGCCCGGCTTACGCCGGACCCCCATTCCTCACTTTTTCAGAGCAGTTAGGAGCAGTCCCCCCCCCCACCCCCCTCCCCCCTTAGGTGAATAAATGTCGAGAAATGAGAATAGAGCTCGGTTTTCCGTATATCGTAATCATAAATTGCTCGGACGGACAGTCATACAAACCGACATGCCGACGTACCGACAAACCGACATACCAATTTTCAGCTTTATAAATGAGAAAGATGCTGTATAGCTGTAAGAGAAGCAACCTATCGCCCTGCCACAGATACAGTACCGTCCAAAAAGAAATCACCTTGAACCTTTTTTGCCATATTTTATCTCGAGCTCAATATTTCTGACTGATTTTTTGATAGCACTCTTTTCAAACATCACAGACTCTTCAGCGATGCAGAATCGGCCGTAGCTTACTTCCGGCAGAGTGAAGTGATTTCTTTCAAAAAATTTGCGGAAGGGACTTATACTTAAGGTAGTTCTTATTGTTTTCTGAGTCTAGAGGGTCCGTGATTCTTTTACTTTGTTAGCCGATCGTTTTCAGTAAAGGAGCGGAACTCTGGTTCTAGCTCTTTGACCGTGGAGCAGTTCGCCGCCATTGCCACAGGCAATAAGCAGGAATTGACCTATGCTCAACACACAAAGCTGTTTGATGAGTCAATGTCCTCGTTTACGAAAGCTACCGGAAAGATGTAGTCTCTCACAGGCCCAACCAAGCAAGCCAGCTCGGGAAGGCCTTAGATTGCCGCTCCTGAGGACGATAGAAAGATCATTTGTGCGTCGACCCAAGATTCCAGACGAGCGTCTTCCGATATACTTACTTGGATTCTTGGACGCTCGTTGTCGGCTGATAATCCTCAGCGGCGAGCACACGCTTCCATCCATTTTTGACGATCTTGAGCGGTTTGGAACCAGTGTTGACCATCGTGTCCCTGAATTTTCTTCAATGAATCAGTCCATCTCGTTGCAGGACGACCAAGTGTGCGTTTAATCTCTAGTGGGTACCAGAACGTGACGCGAGTGGTCCACCTGTCGTCCGTGCGTCTAACCACGTGTCCTGCCCATCGTTTCTTTGCGTTCCACGCGTACATTTCGGCGTCACGGATGCCGGGCATTGAGCGCATGTCCGCGCTGCGGAGATTGAGACTTCTCTGCTTTGCGCGGTTGATATTCAGCAGCGTCCGCTCTAGAGCTCTTTGTGCGCGAACCAACATTAGCGTTGACGTCTTGTTCTCCGCCCACGTCTCGGATGCGTAACAGAGTGCTGGCAATACCGTAGAGTCGAAAAAGACAGCTCGTACTTTCTTGTCCGA